CAAGGAACAACAGAGACAAAAATAAAGGTTTGATCAAAAAGTAACCAAGTATAAAAAGTTCAAAATCGGTGATAAGGTATTAATGTATGATGCTGCCAGAGACAAACATTTCACAGGAAAACTAAAACTGAAATGGAAAGGACCTCTCTACACCCATGATGTCTTGCCCAATGATGTCTTCAAGCTTAGAATGATGAAAGGAAAAGTTCTTGCCGCCCCTATCAATCTCTTTCTCTTGAAACCATATTTTGACCGATTAGCATGGAAACCTAGCATACATATACAGAAAAAAGCATCCTTTAGCTACTAAAGAGTTCAGTACCCAGGTTATGCGATGTGGATGCAGATGCTTGAGTAACCCAGTCCTCCACTTGTATCAAACTCAGCACAAGTATCACTGAACCCTTGAACGAAAAAGAAGACCTAAAGAAACTAGAGAAACAAGCGAAAGATGCAGTGTAATGGAAGTGGCCCACAGAGCGCTCCCTGTCCATTACAGCCGGCCCACAAAGCATACTCAGCGACTACTGCATCTCCCACAATGAATCCATAAACTTTGAAGAAGAAGATACAAGAAAAACGAAATAAGAAGCAAACCTCTAGTTAAACGAGAAGGAAGAAAAAGAACTGTCAAAAGAAGCAGGTGCAGGATTTTCCAGCAAGCAAAAAAGATCTTCCAGACAAGATACTTTGTTCCTCAAGTTCAAGTTTTCCAACTCTAACTCTTTATTGAGGTTGTGAAGGGAGTGTGTATCCCGAAGTGTCTTCAATTCTCTTCTTAATGTTTTCACCTCTGGTTCCAAAGCCCTGAACCTATTTCCTTGATGAACTTGATGCTTCAAGACCCTGATCCTTTCTTGAAGCAAGATAATAGTTTCCCAGGATGGATTTCTGAGACCAGAACATGTTAGGCAAGCATTTCTTGATAAGTGATTTTCTCTTGACATTTTTCAGAAAAATTATGAATTGATGATTATCTGCAAAACGATTTTCAAGAGGATCTTAAGTACACAACATAGTGGAACCTCAAGAATACTCACGAAAATCTATAAAAAGGATAGTTGCCCAAACAACATGCTCCTTTTTCAAATTTGAACATTTCCAACATGCAACTAATAATTCCTATGGCTGCCTATACTACTTTGGTCGAAGATCTTCTGCAAAACACTCCTGAAGATGTATATGTCACACCAACCCCTTATGATCTTCTGCAAACTACCGAAATATAACTTTTGAACATCTATCAGAAGCTACAGAAAGCATCACGAAGAAGAAACAGAATTCTCACACTTGTATATGCTTATTATTTAGGAGAACTGATAGAGAATATCTCTCATAGAAAACAACATGTATACTTGAAATCATATCTTACAGAATATTATTCCAAGATTGTCATTCGTGCATATACTATTTTTAAGAAAGTAGGAATCAGCCAGATTTACAGAACCTGATCCACCACTCTACGCCTAATTCATCGACTGTCACACTTTGATTATGTCTCCTTAACACAAGATTAATTTGTAGAACTTATAGTCTAGTAGGGAAGAATTGTTACACTTGATTTTTACCCAAGATCTTCAATATCCCTTGTCCAATTTTACTAGCATTTACCCTTGAAATATTACCTATTCTAGAATAATTCTTGTATTACTATCCTTGTTATTGTTTTGCATTGTACTTTTCGTGCTATTGTTGCTCTAGAATATTTCCTATTTTATTTATTTTTTTTTATTATTGTACCTTTGCCAGAGCATTTGTTTCTATGCTAACACATACAGACAACTGTTCTAACAAATATAACACTTCTTTTATATTTCTATTATTTCTTATAACTCATAATTATATTGTACAAAAATAATATAATTCAAATATGTATATAAAGGCCCCAATTTTGCCTAGGAATTGGAAGGCTTGAACTTATATTTTATTAAATAAATAACTTGACCTTTGAAAACAAATCACCATTGCTTCTTTCGCCTGACCTCATACATCTCAGAACTGTACTAATTTATATGCCTCTAGGAACTTTAGCATATCACATTGACCTTGTCCATCTAAAGTGCCTTCTTGCTACTAGTTCTCTGTCTTTATCTTTCTCCTGAGGTAGAAATGATATATGACAATATATATAATAAATAGTTAAAAATAAGTAAAAAAAAAAAATGTTTTTTTTAAAAAATTTTATATAAATATTTTTAAATATTTCTAATATTTATATATATTATTTTTTTTAATAAATTTATTAATTAAATTAAAAGTTATAATTTTTTTTTAAAAAAATTTATATTATTATTTTTAAATCAATTTTCTTAATATCTTTAACTTTAAAACAAAATATATTAAAAACATTCTTATTATTATTTAAAATTATTTAATTGGTTTTTTTTTATTATATCTTTAAAATTAAATTAATAAAATATTACAGAGGGTACCCATATTATTGTGGACACTTTTTATTATATAATAAAATAAATTAATAAGCAAAAAATTTTTTTATTATATTAAGTAAATATTTTTATAATATGTTAAAGTATATTATATTAAAATTTCATGTGATTGTAATGATTCACTTGGAATTTATAATCAAAAAACCTTTGTGCTACGAATTACAATTAAACTGAAATTACAAATCAAACAAAAATCTTTTTTTAAAAAAAAAACTTAAAGTTAAAAAATATATATATTTATATATATATTTTTTTTTTAAAAAAAAAATTCAAGCTAATATCAAGTCTTAGTATTTTGTAAGGCCTCCGTTAGCAGTAATGCAAGCTGCAATACAATCCAGCATACTATCCACTAATTGGCGGCAAATTTCTGATAAAACGTCTCACCAGGCTTGTTTAACAAGAATTTCAAGATTAGTAAGATTACTAGGTTTTGATTTACAACACATAGACGTTTTGACCTCATGCCAGTGATTCTCGATAGGATTCATATTAGGGCTCTGGGCAGGCCAGTCTAATACCACAATCTTGTGATCTTCAAAAAATGTAGTGGCAATTTTCAAAATGTGGGGTCTTATGTTGTCTTGCTAAAATAAAGAATGATTACGATTTGCATTTCCCAGATATTTTTTTAAGGTGGGTATAACATATTTGTGCAAAATCCCAACATACGAAGCCCTGATAACATTATTAATTAACGGAACTAGAAGGCCAGTTCTGTGTTAAGAGAAGCAGCCCTAGAACATACGGCTAGGGCTTTGTTTAATGGTACAGCTTAGGCATTCGGCGTCTTATTCCTCATGTGGTTCATATTAAATTCGGGAAAGAACTTGTTAGAAAAGCTGAATAGATGTTTCGTTTGATCAAAGAATATGTCTGAAGTGTCGGGCAGTCCAGTCCCTGCAAGCAAGACACCAGATAAGCCTGTTCAATGCATTAATAATGAAGATTAGTAGTTTTGAGCGTGCAATGCAAGACCTTAAATTTTCTTTTTTTAGGATACGACGGATAGTGTTTTTTGATACATGGAGTTTGGTTTGAGCAGTGAAAGTAATGGCAACTTGGGTGGCATTTAAATGATGGTTTCCATTAGTCACAAGAGTTTTAAGAGCAAAACGATCAGAAGCGGTAAGAAGTGGCAGACGTCTATGATGTTTTCTTTGCGATTCAGTGATTCCCACCTTATAATACTTACCTATAATATTTTCTACAGAAGACTTCTTATAGCCAATATTAGCAACGATGGTATAATACAAGTTACCTCTCAGGTAACTATAGATAATGGCTCCTTTTTGTGCAATTTTCAAATCTTTTTCACTACCTATTAAATTTGATTCTTGTTTTTTTAGCCAAAAAAGGGTAAAAACGTGATTTTTTTTATATAAAAAAATTCAAAAAATTATAATACAAATTAATATGTTTTCGTTTATATTTTTATTAAAAAAAAATAAAAAAAAAATAGATAAATAATTAAATAAATAATTATTTAATTACGTACTTATAGTTTTTTGATTTTCGGTTTGATAATAATTTGTGTCTTTAAAGTTTTTTATCATAGATTTTGAGTAAATTATTATAATTATTTGAAATTTAAATATAATATGCTTTATAATATATAATTTTAATTTTGTTATAATAAAAAATGTCCACAATAATATGGGTACCCTCTGTAGTTTTGATAGAGTGAGATTAAAGTATGATTCTGAAAGCTTGCTTAGTATATAATAGTACTTTCTGAGTTTGTTGACATGGAACTTGAGGTCTGCCAATTTATATATCTTCAATAGTGAAAAAAGATAACTGACTTCTGGTTTCTGGTTTGTTAGTTTATTGGACAGATCAGATTTTTTGATAAAATAATTGGTAGGCAGAAGATTGAAATTATAGAAAGCTCTAAGCCTACCTATAACTTTACCTAAAGACTATTGAAATTGTTTTAGAAATTCTAATTTTAATTGATATAAAAATTTTATTGGGATTGTTAAATAGTTCTGATAGGTTTTTTTGGATAAGATCTTTACACATCTTGTATAGTTTTTGGTAATCAATTTTTTGAAGTAATAAATCAATAAAGAAGTTGAATTTATACTCTAGCCATTATACTACTTGCCAGAATTTGAGAAGTGTTAGATCAGTTAATCTAAGGTAGGCAACAAATAAAGCTTTGTTAATTATTTTTTCAATTTTATTTTTGGTGGATTTTGTGATGTAATTCAAATTGTTAGCTTGCCACCTGGGGTCCTCCTTGAAAAGCTTTCAATTATTTCTTTTTCCAAGATCCCTACCATCAAATTGACCGGGTCAGGCCCCTGCAGATGCCGATAAAGGCATCTGAAGACCTCGGTACCAGCCACCACCCCAAGATGGGGGGATACTGGTTCTGGTACCTACAAGACCTGGTATCAGCCACCGCCTTGATATGGGAGGATGCCAGTATAGGCACATAAAGAGGTTGGAAGAGATCTGGTCAAACCTTACTGGGAGGGATCTCTGGATGTACCCCGGTGTTTTTTGTCTTATCTGTGTGCCAGCTTATTACATGCATTAAATATTTTAGGAGGATGCCTCCTCCTGCTGGAGCATAAGAGAGCCTTCTTCAGGGCTGATAGCCCAGAGACTTGCCTTTTTTGGGGTGACAGAATTGATCTGTCTACGCGGATTGAGATTTACCTTTGAGGGTCCTTGTGGAAGCCTTACCTTTAAGCAGGCCAGCTCATTTAAAGTAATCACTCATTAGTTTAGTGGTAATGTTTTGTACACTGCTAGCTGAAATATCTTTAAAGTTGCTTGGAGCTGGTTCTATGGGTTTAACTAGTTCTTGATTGAAGACTAGAGGCTGAGTATCGACCGTATCTTCATTGTTGTCCAGTACTTTACTTTGTTTGGAGAACTTGCCTATTATATTAAGCTTCATATCGAAATCTGTGAAGATACTGTGTTCTTGCCATGATCAGAACTATTTTTGTTTATTAACTGAGATAGCTATACATTGGTACAAGAACTCAGCTTGCTTCCAGCTTAATTGATCTCTGTAGCCATAGGATCGTGATACTGTGTAGCTTCCTTCTTTATCATCACTACACTCAAGCCAGTATAGTTTAGGAGCTATGAAGAACTCTTCTTTAATCTTGTGCTCGAGTTTAAGTTTACCTAGGTTATCATCATGGATCATGCTGGCTGGGAGGTGAGCATCAGTAATGATAGAATCCGTATCAGAGTAGTATACACTGATATTATTATTAAGACAATGCACTTTATAGCCATTGATGATCATTCAACTATAACCCATGATAGCTGCGGCTAAGGACACATTAGTCTGACTTAAAGATAAAGGCTCATCGAGTAACTTGGCAATAGCTAATTGCTAAACCAATCTGCTGTTAATAACGTGGCTATACGGCATTGGTTCAAACTCAATTAACTCATAACCATTAGTGAAAGGTATAGTAAAGATAATAGGGAAGGCTGAGGCAATAACTCTAGCTTGATCAGGATCGGCAAGGACAACTCTGTTGATATGGGGATGCATTTCGAAGCATCCATATAAGGAGTTCCTAAGCATTATGGCTAGGCTACGCAGAGCTGGTTTGCCTTGTGCTTGGGCCTCTACTTTTATTGAGTTGAGCTGTTGAATAAGGCTAGTGAACACGTTATCATGTCGGTTGAATCTGTAGGCAAACTCAATAGAAACAAGTTCGTAGCCATGGCTTATGGCAAAACGAAGTTTCTCTGAGAAGAAGAGTTCAGAAAAGGTTCCGCCTGGACATAAGAGTTTACCTTGGTGACACAGAGATAAAAAACCGATGCTTAGATTAGAAGAGGCTTGTACTATAGCTTTAACGAAACCAAAGAACTGAGAGTTAAGGAACTCAGAGATAGTAAGGCTCAGTAGTACAGGGTTATCGACTGGGAGAGGACGAAGCATAGTGGTAGGGTATAAAGAGTTCACGTCGTAATAGTATTCGTTTACTACTCGGGGTTTGTAAATGTCTACAATACCACCAAAGTATGCTTCTTGGAATAGCGGGTCGTATGTTTGCAAAAGGTCAGGCACTTGTAACTTGTAAGTAGGGACTTGGTGTGCTTTCCAAGTTTTGAAGGCTAGACCAAGGATAATACAATTAGCTAATGGGCTAAGGGCGAATTGTTCTTGAAAGCCTGAAAAGAATTTTACTAGAACTTGATGAAGAGAAACACAGTCAAAGTACTATCCAGTTCCAATCGTTGTTGGGATAGGCACCTATGATTTCCTGGTATTTGGCTAGCGAAGTTTGTTTAGGTTCAAAGAATTCATAGGCAGGGACTGGCCTGACATAGTCAAGCTTAGGATAACCATGCTCCATAGGGTTAAAGTAATGAGGAGAATGGCCTTTAAGACATTTTACTTTGAAGGACTTGGCTAATGAACCTAAGGAACTAGGGCAGAGGAGAATACTATCTTTAACTTTCAGGATTACTTTGTTGAGTTCGCATACTTTGAGGCTAATTACTTTACCATTATGAAGCATTGGCTGGATAGTAAGCCCTAATTCCTCCCCGAGAAGTACTAGGGCTTTGAGGGAATGGAAGGCATCGTAGCCAGCCCAGTTGTGGAAGTAGATTATGCAGCCTTGACAGTTCTTAAGGATATCGCCCCAGAAAGCTTTAAGCATATTAGTAGAATCATTACCATAATCAGTAAATTTGAATACACTGCCTCTGTTTGACCCGTCATTGTTAATACTGTACCATTCTGCTATCCAAGAAAGGTGGGTACGCTTGTTAACTATGAGAGTCTCGATATTGGCTGTAATAATTTTGGTAACATCGAGAGGCTTAGGAACAGTAGGTGATTTACCGTGGATTAATAGTCTTAATTCGAGTCTTTTTTCAAATTTGACGATTTTACCACATTGAATATAAAGAGAACCAGCAGGAAGATTATGGCGGAAACCTGGTTCTTCCTCTTTGACAGGATAAGAGTAATCTTTATAGGGAATATTAATACGGTTGTCGGAGTATGTATATTTCCAGAAGCCGCTGGGTGTGTGGTAGGCTATAATTCTTGTATTATCACATTTGAGCACAATTCTATTATCAGCTGCTCTTACTACCGTTCATTCACTTTCATTAAATTTCATTATGCCTTGGAGGGCAAAGTTAGCTTTGATTAATTCTTTACTGGCACTGTGGAGAGTGATAGGCTGACGCTGACCTTTAGATAGACTCATTAGACAGTAGTAATTAGCATTGGCAAGTTCAAAGCATTTTAATTTAGCATTATGAATATCGTAAAGTTTAGCTTATAGCTCATCAAGATTAAAATTAGGCATAGGTAGGGCAAGAGATTCTCTGAGAATACCTGAAGCTGATTTAGCACGGTGAGTAGGAGTTTTAGACCTGAACATATCTGAAACTACTTTATTGATCATATAGTAGTTGAGATGAAATTGTTTTTTAATCTTTTTATACTCTTTTTGATGTTGCCTTTTAATTAAATTTTCTTTTGTAAAAGTTTTAAAGAAATTTCAGTCTTTATACTTGATTTTAGAGGAAATAGCTTTGAGAGAGATTCTGGGTGAATCAGATGTTTCATTTTTAATTTTTAGGAAGAAGTTAATTACAGATTCAATTGTTTTTTTTTTTTTTTTTATCGCAAACGGGCATTAAATGCAAGACTTTATTTAAAAAAAATATTTATTGTCATTACATTAACAATCTTTATATAGTAAATTAATTGTAGCCTATCGCAACAAATCTATTGAAACCAGGTACCACTACAGGAGTGGGCTCATGACAATAGTGAAGTATTCTCTTTCTTCTTCATCTGTTATTTTGATTCTATATATTGTTATTTTTTCTCTGAAGTTGTTTATCAATATTTGTACTATTTTCCTTTAGTTTTCTTTGAGATTTTGGCATCTCACTTGAGAATTTCTTGACTGACTCATTTCTTTTCTTATAATAAACATGTCTTTCTTATTAATCGCTTAAGGTTGTTTATGTATTCTCCTATTTGTTGTGGTGTTATACTTTGATTCTCTGTGCTTGTTAGTTATACATGTTGCTGAAATTCATAGATCCTTGATGCAATTGATGCAATTATTTGACGCAATTAATTGAGTCACTATTAAAACATATAAATAATTGAGGATTTTGGGAATTGAGTCAACAGCAAAATAATTTACACCACATGTATATTGTTAGTGATGTTTCTTCTGGTATTTGAGAATTGGCTGTCAATATTTTGGTAACTTTGAGCATTAGGTCTTTTTATTGTTATACTAGAGAGAAGTGTTCTATTGTTGCTGAATGCTCCTTTTGGGTAGTTTGCATAATTTTAAGTGAAGTTGCATCAACTGTTTTTCTTTGTCACTCTAGATGTTTTTTTCTTGCTATAGAGATTGTTAAAGGCTGATAAGATTATTATTTTTTCAAATTTGCTCCACAGATTTTGTATCCAAATTGCTTGGTTTGAATCCTTTTCTATCTTCTCATGGTATTTTGTTATACTTTCTTGTAATTCTGTTTTTCGAATTTTGTTTTCAACCTTGTCTCTAAATTTGTGCCACTGCTTGTCTGTTATCTTGTTTAGATCAATTATTTTCTCCCAGTGTTGCTTGGTGGTTTTTTGTTGTTGGGGTGATGTATGTATCAATAATTCTCTAGTAATGTGAAATTCCAATAGAGTGTGGTCGCTATTGGTGATTTCAGAAAAATTATTGTTATTGACTATAGCTGGTAAGCCCAATATATAGTCTATTCTGTTTGAGCTTTTGTTATTTGCCCAAGTATGGGAGGGTTCATAGTCATCCCAAAGTTGATGCAAGTCTATTAGGTTGTGATTGGTTAAGTACTTAAGATCTAAGCTTTTAGATATTCTGCTGAGGTGAATGTTTTGCTTGAACTTGCACTTTTATGATCAAATCTAGAATTAAGGGTGGTATTAAAGTCTCCCATTATGATGATGTGATATTGTTGATGGATCCTGTCTTGGAAATTTTTAAAAATTTTTAATTTAAAAGTTTTTAAAATAATAAACTCCGGAAATTTTTATTTCAAAAAAATTTAAAAATCTTCAAAGTATAATAATTATATTAAAATAAATATTTATTTAATAAATATTTATTTCTTTTATCAAATCTTAAAATTATATGAATCAAATTATCTATTTCTCTTATATCTACTAGATTATATATATTCATTGATTTAAAATATGTACAATCATATATATGGCGATTTTTTTAATTTAAAATCATACTATTGTACTAATACTAATTGAAGTGACAGTCTCTGAATTGTTTCACTTATCTTTATTATTAATAAAACCTAAAAAAATTATATTAGTCTTAAAATAAAATAATATTT